CAAAGGAAGGTCATGATAACAAGTATGTGGGTCACTTTCTTGCAAGTTGAGGTCCACCTTGAACAAATTTACGCTATCGGCACTTTCTTCTACTCTGGTTTTGTTTCCCCTACAATCAAATCTTGCAAAGTCAAATGGCGACAGGGAATGGAATGATAAGAGCAGGTCTTAGTGAAACAAGAAGATTTTCGACCTAAACCTGCATGTTGAGGTCCAGCTTAAATAAATTCACGTCATCGGCACTTTCTCTCACCTCCGACCAACTCTTTCAAAGCCAAACGGTGTTAAAGAATGGATAATGGGAGCAGGTTTTGTGAAAATGTAAGCTTCTCGTCCTGAATTTGCATGTTGGCGGCGAATTTAGTCATCAACGCCAGCATCATAAAGGAAGTGATCAGAAAAGAAGAAATTAAATTCTTGGATACGAGATAAAGACGACGACGGCGATCTGTTCAAACATGGATTATTTTTTTTTTTTTTTTCCTTATAGTAATGTTCACGCTGTACACGACGCAGGGGTCATTGGAGGTAGAGTGTTGTGTTAAGTGGTAGTTTATGTGGATAAGAAGGGGAGATAACAGTTGAATGTAGATCAACATCTAGGTCTACATCGAAGACAAGAAACCAGACGAAGCGCAACCAATCCCAAAATCCTCAACAGTGGAACAAGCGGATGATGATTACCACAGATCTCAACTGTTGAACCAGCGTAAGAAGAGGTCTACGTATGACGGACATGTTATAGAAGGCACCAGTCGAAATGATAAGAGATTCAGCGACAGTCAGTTGCAATTTTATAATTGGATTCTGCATGTCTCTTTCCATAGTAGCCGCAAAGTAGGGTCATGAATTCCAGTGTGTAGGTGACGCCCTGACAAGTTGAGTTCCAACCTCAAACAAAAAAGCGACGATAGGGAATGGATGACCGGATCATATTTTGGTGAAAATGGAAGCTTCTCATCCTGAACTTGCATGTTGTCGGCGAATTTAGTCATCAACGCCATCATCATAAAGGAAGTGATCAGAAAAGAAGAAAATATACGAGATACGAGATAATGACGACGATATATACAGAGTTTTTCGAAAATACATTTACAAACTTTGGGGTTTGTTTCCACACACCAAACAATGACAAATGTCCATATAAAAATATGTCTCTAAATCCTTCGTTTTTAAATTTTAAAGAAAGTTTACAGTTTAAAGTTTACAGATGGAGCTGTGTTGCCATGTAGACTAGTTTACATTTGTCATTCGTGTAAATTTGTGACTTGTCTATTTCCAACGTTTAGCGTTTGTAGTCGTGAGTTAACTGAGAAGTCTTCCGTTTAACAATGGCAGGATATTCAAATCATGAGCAGGCAAATGATTTTTCCATCCGGTCGCGCGAATAGTAATGAACGCGAGGTTGAATCAGATTGCGTTTCCAGACCAAAGGCAGCCGAGGCATCTAACCTTGCTGCTGTTTATCGTCCCATTACTGAGACAGGATCCGTGGCACCAGAAACTATTGATCGAGGAAGACCAAGATGCTCTCGTACGGTTGACCACGGAGAACGCATATTACAGGCTTTCGGAGACGACCCAGGTATCAACACCCGGCCAGTTGCCCTAGTATGTTAAACATCTTATAGTACCGCATGGTGGGTACTTTAAGAGAAGAACCTGTATCTGCATTATTTGCAACGCATTCAGGGTCTCTCGGGAGAACTTTTGCTGATGATTTATTATCATTTCTTATTACTATAAACATTATTATTGTGAATAAACATGTTTGAGTTGACACTCTGTGATTTTCATTATTTAAACTGGAAGAATTACGTCTAGGGGCATGCTTATCAGAAAGACACGATAAAGAAAATGTGTTCTCCGGCGAGCATTATTTAACTTATTACTGTAGAACTAATATCCAAATCTTTGTGGTTACACTCATAATGTTTTAACTGTTTCAAGTTTTACGCAGGATTACCCTATGCCTCCACTGTTCATCTCTCCCTCTCTCTCTCTCTCTCTCTCTCTATATATATATATATATATATATATATATATATATATATATATATATTCAAAAATTATAAGATAAGGATGATAAACATCACTACAAAAATAGCTATTTTGTTTCAAGTCTTGTCAAGTGATGGTGTTGATTGCAATATATATATATATATATTAGAATCAGGATATGTGACTACACTTTGGAGCGAAATTGTATTATGTAGGTTATAGAGTAGATGTATACTATAAATGTATATATTTATATATATATATATATATATATATATATATATATATATATATGAATATACTATATATATATGTATATATATATATGTATATATATATGTATATACTATACTATATATATACGTATATATCTATGTTTATATATGTATATATATATGTATATATGTGTATATACTATACTATATATGTATATATACTATACTATATATGTATATATGTGTATATACTATACTATATATGTATATATATGTATATACTATACATATAGTAGTTATAGACTATAGAGTCGATTTATATAGACTGTAGAGTACATCTATGTGACCACGAAACTCCAAAGTCAATGACGGAAATGCTGTTCAGTTAAGCGAAAAAATATCATCTTAATTCTATTAACGTTCGATGTCTCTCTCCTATATTGAGCACTCTACAACAAAGCCTGCTTACTTTAAATGCTTTTCTATCAGTAAACCACTATGTCTGCAATTATAGCTTCAAAAACCATCTCTCAAAATAACACTATATATATATATATATATATATATATTATTATTATTATAACAAAACATCTTAAAATCGCTACACAATTGTTTTCGTATTTCGGCACTATGTTGTGCCTCTTCAGGCGATGGTAAGTAACTCGAGATTAAATGATTTTCAAGAAAATTTACCTCTTTTTTCGAAAGATAAAGGTGAGGGTGAGTAAACACAATGTCAAAATTAAAAATAGACTTGTGGGTTTGCCTTGATCAACCAATGAAGTGTCAGATCTACGCTAAATAGAACATTGAGCTCAGAGCGTGAAGGTGGGGGAGTTATTTTTCCATGACATGATAAACCGGAACTTAGGTCATCATTGACATTTGCGGAAAACAAACATGCAAGCAACAAATGAATCGTGATTATAGACAAACATGTCATGTTCATATATATGTGTGTCCGTGTATGTGTGTGTTCGTGTGTGTTTGTTTATGTGTGTGCGTGTATCTGTGCGTGTTTAATGTGCCAAGAAGTTTAATGCTGTGGTTAATGCTTTGGGACAGGTAATATGGTTATACCAATAATTACTAGAAACGGGACGAGTAATTACCAAGACGTAATGTTCCTAGATCTGGATCATCGGATGAGAACAGTCCACCCGTATAGACTGAATAAAGTGTTTCATTCAAAATTTGCTGACGGTTAACCAGAACGAGGAAATATAGAAGTGCATACCGACCGAAACGTTGTAATTGTAACAATGAAGACGAAGACGTTAAATAATGTAAATAATTAAAACACCATAGCCTAGAAATTCAGACACCAATCCAAAAAATACCATTCAATCACCATTCCAAAAGACATCAATCCAAGACACTAATCCAAAGACACCAATTCAAAAGATGCTACTCGAAAAGACACCAATTCAGACGACACTAATCTAAAAGACACCAATCCAAAAGACACTAATTCAAAAACCACCAATCCAAAAGCCACTAATTCAAAATACACCAATCCAAAGACACCAATTCAAACGACGCTACTCTAAAATGCACCAATCCAAAAGACACTAATCCAAAATTCAAAAATCCAAAATACACTAATCCAAAAGCCACAATCCAAAAGACACTAATTCAAATAACACCAATCAAAAGACACCAATTCAAAAACGCAACTCCAAAAGACACTAATTCAAAAGTCATTAGTCCAAAAGACACTAACCCAAATCCAAAAGAAAACAATCCAAAAGACGAAATCCAAAATTCACCATTCCAAAATACTAAACTAAAAGCCACCAATCAAAAAAATACTAATCCAAAAGACACCAACCCAAAACACACTAATCAAATAGACACGAATCCAAAACACACTAATTCAAAAGACACCAATCAAAAAGAAACCAATCCAAAAGACACTAATTCAAAAGACACCAATCCAAAGACACTAATTGAAAAGTCACCAGTCCAAAAGACACTAATCCAAAATGCTCCAATCCAAAAGACACTGATCCAATAGCCATCAATCCAAAAGACACAACTCCCAAAGACACTAATCCAAAAGCCACCAATCCAAAAGCTACTAATCCAAAAGAAACCACTCCAAAAGACACTAATCAAAATTACA